ATGGAGAAACCCCCTTCAAGAGAGAGGACGGGGTGCGGTTAATTAGATAGGCCACTATCTGGATGCAATCGCCCCAAAATTCAATTGGTAGACCAGACTCGAATCCCAGGGCTCGAGCAACGTTGAGGATGTGACGGTGTTTCCTCTCAACCCGTCCGTTTTATTGTGGAGTATCAACGCAAGAGGTTTCATGAGAGATTCCTTGTTCCCAGAAAAATGGATTTAAGCATTCGAAATCGGTCCCATTATCACTTCGTACACATTTAATCTGTGTCACATACTGTTTGAAAACCATAGCACAAAATTCACGAAAAATAATAGGCACAGCACTCTTGGTATTCATCAAATATACCCATACCCCACGAGAGAAATCGTCAACTATGGTCAAAAACATTGTGGATCCATTCAAACTAGGTGTACAATAAGGGCCCCAAAGATCAACATGTATCATATCAAAGATTGCAGTAGATTGATTATAACTTATAGGAAAACTAGTACGAGAGTGTTTGGCACGTAAACATATATCACAACAATTATTCTGTAAGCTACTATCTTTAATGGAACCAACTACTGGAACTAAAGACAAAACTCGAGTTGAAGGATGTCCCAGACGCTTATGCCATAGATCAAAACTTCTCTCTGTCTTTGCACTTAACGCCACTTTGTCCTCCAGCGGCCGCAGATAAAATAGTCCTCCCTCGTGTTCACCCACACCAATCAAAATCTTCAACTTTAGGTCCTGTAAGATGCAACGATTAGTAGTGAATCGGACCTCACAATTAGATTCCTTTATTAAGTGGGAAACTGAGAGCAAGTTACAACTCAGATTAGGAACAAACAGAACATTCAGCAAGGTCAACGTGTCTATCAATTTAGCGTTTCCGGATTGAATCGAAATAATTTTCTTTCCGTCAGGTAAGCCAATTTCACAAGATGGCATATCCACAATATCATAAAGTATCAAAACATCACCAGTCATATGATTCGATACACCAGTGTCAATAATCCAACGGGGGGTAATACATGTTAATTTATCGGGAGTAGCGGTGGCAGTGGATGTAACGGATAGCGCATGACGGACCACATCCCACTGGGCCGGTGTAAGGTGATCGAAATCTGGAAGATTGGTCTGCCCCCCAGTGTCGGTTGTCACAGTGTTGGCTACTGCCGCCTGTCCGCTGCCCTGGCCACCTGGTCCCTTGCTGCCGTGGTTTCCCCCACGCCTGGATCCGCGACCTCCTCTGTTGTTGCTGCGACCGAGGTCGCTTCCGGGCGGCCACCACTCCGAGAAACCATTTAGCTTGAAGCAGTTGTCAACATGATGTCCCTTCTTTTTACAGTGACTGCAAATTTGATCAGCGTCTTCATTGTTCTTTTTCGTAGCAAAAGCAGTAGCGGTAACCTCTGTTTCGCCAGCGGCTCGTATCGAAGCACGAGCGGTCTCCTCTTGAATCAATATATCGTAAGCGCGGGCGACAGTGGGCATTGGATCTTGAGACAGAAGTTGCGACCTTATGAACCCGTACGTGGCTTCGTCGATGCCCATTAGGAACTGATGAACCCTTTCTTCCTCCCTCTTCTTTGCTAGGGCTGCCGCTAGTTTGCCCGCATAATCTGTGCAAACACAATTAGGGAATTTGTCGATGTCAGCCAAATCATCCAATAATTTCTTAAACTTGCCATGATATGCCATCATGGTAAGTCCCTTTTGTTTGCATTCAGCTATTTCACGTTTCAGTTGTTGGATGCGAGGTCCGTTTACAACCGAAAAACACAATTTTAGTTCGTCCCACAGATCAGATGCAGATTCGCCCGTAGAGATCGTGGATCGTAACGATGGCTCAATCGTGTTGCGTATCCATGACACTATAAGTGAATGATTGGTCCACCAATCATACAAGTCATTTGAGTCTGGATCCGGTTGCGGTACCAATCGATCAACAAATCTAAATTTCTTACGAGCCCATAAGGCAAGGCGCAAGGATTTGAACCATTCTTCATAGTTCGGTCCCTTTAGAACAACCTGGGTTATAAGCATACTTGGATTGTCGCTGGGGGAGAGATCATAGGGCGATATGCGACGACGTCTAGGCAGTATGTCGTCGTTGTCATCGTCCACATGCTTCTTCGGTGATGCCGCCTGTTCTTTCTCTCTTGCCATGCCTGCTATTTGCCGGAGGGAGATTGTTCACTTATCTATTCGATTGCTGCCACTAAAAGCTGTTGCCGCAAGTAGCTGCCGTTTGCCAGAGATTGTTCACTTCTTTGGTGATGCCGCTAGAAGCTGGTTTTCGCTGGAGGAATTCAAGTTGTTGCTGCCGAATTCAAAGACCTGCACTTCAAGCCGCAAGAAGAAATTAAGTTGCTTCCTTACCCACTAGGAAGAAATTAAGGTTAGAGAAAGCAACAAGGGATTCGTGCGGCTGTACTGCAGATAGGTTTTTAATTTGGCTCCGATACCATGATACGCAAGAATATTTTTGGGATAAATTCTTTCTATGTTCCTCTCTCGTTATGTACAATATATATATATATATATATATATATATATATATATATAGCTATCAAGAGAGTCCTAATAGGACTAGGAATCCTACGTACAAGTGTAATACAAATCAAAGGCTAATCTTAATAGAGTAAGGACTCTTGTTTCCTTCTTTAACATACATTGATTAAACCTTTAAATTATGTAATGCTACAAGGTTAATCGATGAAGAGATGTGAAAGAATGTTATTGGAGAAATTGTAGTCTAAAGAAGCAGAGTCGTAGAAAAGGTATAAATACCTCAAATGAATATGGTACAATTTGATCCGAGATTACTATTGAAGTCTCAAAGAAGATAATTCTTGATAGCTTTATGTTTTATGACAATTGATAAAAGTCATGGTCAGACGTTATCATTTGTGGGGTTATTTTTAGCAAACTGGTATTTAATCCAATCAATTTTACATTGTTGTTTTGCGGGTGAAAGCTAAAACAAGATTGATTGTTCGTTTTAGATGAGAGAGTGAGTCCTTAAAATTTTTCGAAAAAAAGGATTTAAATTAGATCTTGTAACGTTAACTTTCAACAGTTTATATAACTTACATTGCTAAATGTTAGATGTGACGAGTTAGATGTAAAATTTCTATGCTATTATAGATCGTATAGAAATAAAACTTATTCAATATTTTGAAAATATCACAATGGAAAAATTTAGGGAAAAAGATTAAAATAGTACTCCCTCCATCCCAAAATGTTTGAAACATTTCGCAAAACGAGACAAAATATCAAATTTTTTCAATTCATTCGATTTAAATATTGGAATAAAAAAAAAATTTACATATTTAAAATCTATATGAAAAATTCTTCAAAATAAAAGGTGTCAAAAAATTTTAATCATATGAAGTAATAAATGAAAACGTACAAACAAATAAAAGTTCTCGTGATGGTTGAAAAAAGAAATGTGGCATTTTTTTATGACGGAGGGAGTAGTAAAACATTAAAAATATATACAAAAATAGAAGTTCTTTTTTTATTTTCGAAAAATGAATTAAAATGACTTTACATTATCAATCATGAGTCATGACGATATACATTACTAAGAAGTATAGTAAAATGCACATTTACAGTGTCACATTGCCGTAGTACGAAGTATTTAGAGAATAAAAACATGAAACTCCTAAATCTATTTTTTCTCTATAGTTTGTTCTTATTTAGATTGATTTCTTAAAAATTTATAGAATGATACAAAATTTCATTCCACTCAATGAGAGACAAAGGTTAAAATGTTAGTTGACCAAAATACTCGACCTTCAATTAATTTTTTTCAGTTTAATAGGAAAGTAATTCAATCCAATTATCAATTCTAAGGGCACTGGAAATGCGTTTGAAGCCCCGAAGTTTCAAACTTTCTCTCTCTGTCACGTCAGCTTTAACTTACACCCAAAAATCACTGGAAATGGGTTTGAAGCTCCGGGGCTTCAAACCTTCATTTTTTACATTTTTAAATATACATCTTCTAAAATTAAATTAATAAAATGTAATTAATTTAGTATTTAATTATATTGAAACACAAATAATAAAAAAATACATTCATTAAATAAAAAAACGATAATAAAAAAAAAGATACATTAATAAAAAAACTAAGGAAAATTATATTTCTCCTTGATCTATTTTATTCTTTGCTCGTAGAGCATTCGTCCAATCTTCGACAACGTCCCGGGGTCGGTTGCCATGACTTTCATCTCGGCTTCCTTCTCCTTTAGCTTCAACTCCTCTCCTTTAGCTTCAACCTCTCTTGTTCTTGGAGATTGAACGCCCGAAGTTGTTCAACCATTTCCCGGCCGATTTCGTCGCGGGAAGAAGCGAAAACAGAATCGGGCCCTCCCGAAGCCGAGGCAATGGATTTTGCCTTCTTTCTTCCGATCGGCCGTGGAATGGGCTCCTCGTCATCGGAATCCGCAATGTTGAAGGAAGGGATTTGATCGGTCGAACCGATAGTCTCGTCGACCTCAACCTCGGCGTCCACTTTTGGATTGACCGTGCCGCCTCGGTCATCGTGCTTTTGGCTCTGTGGCTTTTCCGGCGTGTACTTTTTTTCGACCCGGACGGTTCCGGTTGAGTTTCCGGAACCGAATCTCGGTCGACGTACGCCGATTGTTGCATCTCGTAGATCGGCGGTCGATCGCCCCACTGTTGGTACAACCACATCGCGGCGTCGCTCGGTGGGAGATCGTCGGGAAGAAGCCGGAGTAAGAAGGATTCATGTTGAAAAGAGGGAGGGTGATTTCGAATTTAAAATCTTAAACAAGTGGCAGAAATCAGTAACCTATAAAGAAGGCAGAGTGATCGGTGAACCATGCTAATAATAATAAATTTTTAATTTTTTTTTGCCCTCAAGCCCCTGTCATCTTCCCTCTTACACGGTTTTATACTCCGTATATCTGAATTCCTCTGTCAACAATGGTACAGTGACATTTAATTATTCAACTATAGATATATAAAAAAAAGAGCAGAGTGCGATAAATAGATATAGAAGCTGGCTTTGCTTTAAACCCACCCATCACATTTCAATTCCCAGGTTTTCATTTGTCCTGCTTCCTCCAGATCCAAAGTCAAGAACTCTAGAAAGAAAACCCCGCCGGCCGGAGAGAATGGAGGCGACGGCCTTTCGCCACCGCCGCAGTGACAATGCGAGGCCGAGGCACGGCAGCAGAGACACCAGTCCTCGGGAAGACAGCAGGCGGCTTCCACCCCCTCCGCCGCCGCCGGAATTCATTCCCGCCACCATCCGGCCGGCGACCCTGAAGAGGGTTCAGGTGGTTTATTACCTGTCGCGCAAAGGCCACCTGGAGCACCCGCATTTCATGGAAGTCGCTCATCCTCATACCCGCCACCTTCTGTTGAGAGATGTCATGGATCGTCTCCTAGTCTTGAGAGGCAAAGCCATGCCTTCACTCTACTCTTGGTCTTGCAAAAGGTATATTCTTTGTAGAATCTGGAAAGATTTAGTGTTTTACCCCTTCATTTAATTATTCACATTCTTATTCTAAAGTAATTAATTTTCCCACCACATTCCATGGCAGGAGCTACAAGAATGGGTATGTGTGGAATGACTTGGCGGAAAACGACGTCGTCTACCCTTGTGATGACGAGGGCGCTGAGTACATCCTCAAAGGCTCTGAGCTCTTTCAGCCTTCTTCTTCTTCTTCCTCTGGTAAATTAATTTTTTTTTTGCTTTGTAAGAAGTCAAAATTCAGAATGAATTACGGAGTAAATCAGCGCAGTAATTTTAATTTGATTTTAATTTTTTTTGGGTGGTCAGCAGAAAAATTGAGAGTCAATGATTCACAGATGGGGTTTGACCTTGTGGTCAGAGGTGCCCAGCCCGTCAGACACGGGGACGTGGTGGCGGCGAAACGACGGCCGGTGGCTTCGAAACGACATCCGGAGCCGGAAGATGATGCTCGGGACAACTATGGAGATGACGGCGGGGAAGTGTGCGCGGAGGAAAATGCGATGGGCGTGCGGGAAAAGGATCTGACTCGCACTGAGTTGACTCGCGACGAGTCGTCTCCCCCGTCCACCGCTTCCTCCCTGTCCGAGAAGGGGAACGACGGAAGCAACCACAGCTCGTCGATGAGGTACGAAGACGGGGACCCGGTGGCGGCGGAATCGGTACTGAGTCGCAACTCGGTTCTGTTCCAACTCATTTCCTGCGGCGGATCCGCTTCCTTCAGGGCGAAGAGTCTAGCGTCGTTGTCGAGGCAATCCCCGGCGGCCGCATCTGCGGCGGCGGCGGTCGGAAGGAAGAGCTGCAGCGGCAGCGCTCTCCAGAGAGGGGTGATGGTGAGGGCAGCGGCTGCAACGATGGACGACGAGGAAGAAATCATCATCAAATACATGTCGGAGAATCCGAGGTTCGGGAACATGCAGTCGGAGGAAAAGGAGTACTTCAGCGGGAGCATAGTGGAGTCGATTGCGTCAGAGGAGAAGTCTCAGATCGGTCCCAGCCTCAAGAAATCTAACTCTTACAATGAAGAAAGGTGAGTCAACTCGGTTACCCGCTCTTCCCAACTTTATTACTGCACTCATTTACTACCATTTTACCTGATTTCCAAATTACTCGCCCCCCTGACGAAGTGCAGTAGCACTGTAAATTTTATCCCTGCCCGGCTGCCCGTGTCATTCATTCTTCCAAATTTTATCGGAAGAGGATGGTGGTAAATTGTTAGATACTCCCTTCTTCAGTTTTGAAAATGTCAAAAAATGTACTCCTTCCATCCTAAACATGTTTTAGTTACTATTCACACGTTGAAATTTTAATTACTTTTTTTTATTTATTTTTGTTAATAATTTAATAAAATAATATATTTTCGTTACCTCTTGTTCCGTAGAACTTTTGATGTAATTTTTAAATATATAAATTTTATTTTTAAATTTTACACATACAATCAAGCAATTTATAGAAATGAGAAAAATATTTTAAAATGGAGAGATTACACCAAAAAAATACACTCCTGATTGTAATTAGTTTAGAATAAGAAGAAATTCTAATTCATCCTCCCCGACTAATAATAAAAAAGTACTCGGGGATCCCGAGTACTTTTTTATTATTAAACAAAATATAAAACTACGAAATTAAATTTATTTTTAAATGAACGAGAAAGAAAAATAGAAAATTCCTTGTGAGCTAGAGGGATTTCAGTTAAACTCCGTTTAGTAGACGAAATTCATGTCATGTAATTAGAATTGGAGGCTTCAATTTCAACTTTGTTATTTGGTAATACAAAAATATATGGATTTGAAATTGTATTCTAATCCCAAATTTTCCATATCAATTTCGAAAATGTGTAGATTTGGAATTATAATAAAATTTATATCATTTCTATATTTTAATATGTATTATCAAAAAAAGGAATTGAAATTGTAATTAATACAACTGTATATCAATTTCTTAATTATATAATTAAATTGAATAAAATTGAATTAGGAATTGAATTATAACTTAATTCGTAATTCAATTCCATCCAATTTAATTATATAGAATTTCAATTTCAATTCCGTATGTCAAACAGAGGCTTAAACTCCCCTCATTTGGCCTTAATTTGATTATTATTTTTTGTCTAAATTACATTTTCAGTAGTTTCTCCAAATACAACAAAATAGAGGATATTTTAGACAGTAAAGATACTTTGAGACCATGAAAGGTTGTTTGGATTTGTGAACAAGTTCACACATAATTGTCATATTAACTAGCGGTTGAGATTATTGCAGTATGGCTCATGATTTTGGTGTTGATGACATGACAACCCACATTAAGTGTTGACCGAGAAAGGAAGATCTATGCCGTTGACTTTTTTTATTAAAAAAAAAACGCACTGATTGTGGGGTTGTATGTGACAGGAAGTGCTGCAAGGGGGCCGCAGGGCTGGGAGAGGAAGGAGGAGGAGGAGAAGGAGGCGGGGTGAAGAAAAGGGGTAAAAAAAGTGAGAAGGCCGCCGCTGCGGGGAAATGTATTCCCATTAAAAAGTCTTCTTCTAAACAGCCTTCCGGAAAGTGACACAGATCTATTGGGAATAATGAACTAACCCATTTTGCCTTTAATTTGGTTGGATCCCATCTATGAACTCATGGATTATGCTATATGTACCCCAAGGTTTCTACCCCAATTTGTACCTCGCAGTTTTGCACCAACACTTTGTGTTGGTGTAAAACTAATTTTTATTAAACGCACCAACAATTGTGTCCGTGTGAATATTTATTAACGCACCAACACTTGTGTCGGTGTAAACCATCAAAATGTTTGTGCAAGCCTGTGGTGTACAAATGGAGTATATTTTTTGGTGTAAGTGTAGCATGGTCCATGAACTCATACATACCATTTGGCTGTATTCTTCTACAATGGGTGTACGTGTAGGCCTTATTATTATTATTATTATTATTATTATTATTATTATTATTATTATTATTATTATTATTAATTAGTACGAGTATTATTAGCTTTTTAGCCGGAGAAGCAGCTGCTACCACACCACCAGATTAATTAATTATACTCTCTCCGTTCCTAAATAAACTTCCATTTTTGACTTTTTGAAGATTTAAGGGAGAGATATTTTTGTGTTGATTTTCCAAAAATACCCTTGATGTGATGTGTAAAAGTAAGATGTGATAGGTAGATTATTAGTAAAAAGGTATGATGTGATAGGTAGGGTATGAAAAAGTAAGGGGTAAAAGGGGTTTTTTTAAGGGAAAAGAGAAGTTTATTTGGGGAAAAAAAAAAGGAAAGGGAAGTTTATTTAGGAACGGAGGGAGTATTAATTAGTAATTTATATTTGCTTCCTTTTGCTTTTTTTTTGGACATTGATAAATACGGCTTCCACCGCGGCGTGCCGAAACGCCGCCCGTGCTGATGTAGAGCCGCCACGCCTGGCGGGCAGCGTTGATCCGGCTCCCCGTGTCCAGTCTGTCCGCGTGTGCTCCGTCCCAAATGGATCCATCCGTTGCATTTGTTTGTTTATTTATTGCAATTGTTTTGAAATGCAACAAGATTAAGTTTTAAATGCATTCTTTTCTTTAAGATGTCCAACCTTTTCAAACAGTATGAATTGTTTTTTTTAAAAAAAAAATACTCTCCGTCCCAATTTAATCTTCTCATGGGAAGGGATAAGGCCAAACTTAAGGGAAAGGGCACGTTTTAATCCGATTACGAGATCAAAAGGTTAAGCGAGCTTGATTGAAGATCAAAAGGTTAAGCGCGCTTGATTGAAGGTAGGCAATTGAGAAGTTTAAATATGTTAAGCATATTTATTATATATGTTAAGAATATTCCTTGTATCAATTATAGTACCTTCCTTATTTGTATAGGTGATACGTATATCGTAGCGTCTTCGGGCTCCAAGAAAGGAGAGGCAAAGAGAGAAGGAAAACTTCGAGCGTTCCCGGGCTCCAAGAAAAGGGATATGAGAAATTAAGAGAATTCTTGATTATTGATTGATTAATAATAACGAAAGATTACAATATATAAAGACGCTAAAAAACCCTTATTGACCTAATGGGCTCAGGCCCATACCAAAACCCTAAACCATCAATAAATAATAATAATAATAATAATAATAATAAATAACTACTAAATAATAATATAACTAATTAAAATATTATAATTAACTATCTGTATCATCCTCACCCCCTTAAAAACCACCTTGTCCTCAAGGTGGAGGCTCCCACTCATGCTTCTGGACAAAAGGGAAATGGTTGAGCCAAAGAAGATCTCCCCCTGGTGGTCCATCATTACAAATCTCAACAATTGAAGCGGAGCAGAGGATAGTTGAGGCAAAACCAAACAGGTAGCGGACTATTCGCAAGGGAGCTAGATATTCAAACTTTTCAATATCATCAAGGTCAAACAACTTGAAGGTATCCAATGAAATTGAGTTGTCAACTTTGAGAAACTCTTCATCAAGCGAGGTATCAATATCCTGAAAAGTAGGATCTAGCTTGTAATTCTTAGCAACACCTGCATGCTTACGATCATCATCAATTACTTCCACAGTGTTGGGCTTCCCGTTATCTTCATTCATGGCTTCAAATACACTGCTCACCTCAGCTTCACCACGTGGTCCAGTGCAGAGTTTCGTTGCTTCAAGTGCATCCTCCATAGTCGGGGTAGGTAGTATGGTGGTGTCTTCCACCTTGTGAGCAAATTTGTCTATAACATTCTTTGGTGTCTTCTCAAAATAAATATAATCCAGATCATGTAGCGGAGCAAATCGAATCTTGAACTTTTCAACAAAATCCGTCCAACCATCAATTAAACCACCACGCATACGCCAATTAAACCAAGCTAATACAGAGCCCTCTAACATTGATGCCACACGGTTCAAACGATCAACTAAAGGGACGTCATAAAACTGGAAATACTCACATACCATAGCTAACCACTGCACGGGTTTGGTTCCGTCACATCTTGGGGGTAACGTTGGTGGAGAAGGTGCACATGTTACTTTCCGTATAATACCCATTATGTGCGCTCTGAAAATTTGCAACTCAAAAGGAATTTGAATTGGCACAATTAGAGGTCCACGAATCAAATCTTGTACCGAGCAAAAAATTTCTACGTGGAGTGCATCATAATCAATTTGACCTTGAAAATTATGGATCGACCTGAGCTTCATAATAATTTAATACACGTGATCAAAAATCAAACACACCCCTTCGTCATACGCAATTTCTCTATAAAGAACCTTTTCTAGCAAACCAAGAAGTCCGTGCATCGCATAGTCCATTATCAAAATTAACACCACCACACAAAAATATCACAAAAATACTCCAAAATTATCCAAATTACCTGAACAAACTGGAGCAAATATTGGATCCACAATTGTGTCTGGCGATTAGTGATGAAATTTTGACAACCAAATTAGTGGGGAGAAACAATATTCAAAAATCTGAGTGGAGATCTTTTGCACTTGAAGGAAAATTCCCTTTTATGCCTAAATTAGTGGGCCGCACCAAACCATCAAAAAGGGCTCCAATAGTATCTCAATTTACTGTGCGCCGCTCCAAAATTGCAACAAAGTCTTTTTTTTCCGATCGTGCCTGTCGTTGTGCAAATCAAAGCACACAAAGGCACGCAAGTCGAACTGAATATCGACGGTGAAACTGCACTGACGGCGGCGAAGGAGCTGTAGCGGCGGCACAATTGGTAGTTTCTCCGATTGTGCACTGTCAATTGATAATGATGCACGATCAATACTCCTTCAATTGATGTTTATTGGCGGAGAAACCAAATTGTACCAGATTTGCAATCAATTTTTCTTTTTTTTGTTTTGGTTTTTTTTGTTTGGGTGTTCCTCTCAATGAAAGCACCAATTGATACGTATATCGTATCGGATAGGGAAGAACTTCGAGCGTCTTCGGGCTCCAAGAAAGGAGAGGCAAAGAGAGAAGGAAAACTTCGAGCGTTCCCGGGCTCCAAGAAAAGAGATATGAGAGATTAAGAGAATTCTTGATTATTGATTGATTAATAATAACGAAAGATTACAATATATAAAGACGCTGAAAAACCCTAATTGACCTAATGGGCTCAGGCCCATACCAAAACCCTAAACCATCAATAAATAATAATAATAATAATAAATAACTACTAAATAATAATATAACTAATTAAAATATTATAATTAACTATCTGTATCAATAGGATTCACATTTATGATTGTTTCCTTGTTGTAACCCCTTCCCCTTTGTATATAAAGGGAGGTGGAATCATTGTATTAAATCAGTTAAAATAATAATTCTTTCATGGTATCGGAGCCTACCCGAGGTTAACCTCGAAACCATCTCTTCCCCGGCGTTGCCCTCTCTGCCGCCGCCTCTCTTTCTCCCTTTCTCGGCTCATACTTCCTGCCGGCAGCCCCTCTCCCCCTTTTTCTCTCTATGGCTTCGGACAAATCCAACACCCCCTCACCTACCCCCCATCTTGCCTTCACAACAATTTCTAACGTCAAACTCCAAGTCCCTATCACCCTTAGTTTCTCGGAGCCGAACTTCAAAAAATGGAGCCGCCTACCCCTCCTCTTGGTTCGACGTTTCAATCTTGAAGGCTTCCTTACTGGTGAGAAAACCTCGAACGGAAAGGATGACGTCGAATGGCTCCAACTTGACGCTCTAATTCAAGGAAGGATTCTCTCCGCCGTCAACGATGAGGTATCGGATCTCATCATTTCCTCCACCACGTCCGCCGCAGATCTTTGGAAATCGATTCACAAATTGTTTCACGATAACAAGGCGGCCAGAGTTGTAACACCCCAACCCGCATGACCCAAACCCGTGAGACAGCGGACCGGTGTGCCACTGGATTGGTATCCGAATTTGCAACATTTTCAAAACAATTTTAAACAAACGTTCTTTCAATACATATAAAAATCCATCGGAGTAATTTAAAATAATGCGGAAGCCTTTTTAAAGTCAAACAACTTGGGATCTTGCCCGAAAACGTAATAAGCATTAAAGTTAATTAAATAAAGCATAACTACAGATTAAAGAGACAGCCACGCCATCGTACATCTCCTCCTCAATGCCCTCTAGGATCGGCTCTAGGTTCATCTGTCTGATCACCTACGGACAGCAAAAGGAAAACAACGCTATCCGCTCAGCATTGACGCTGAGNTTTTCTTTCTTTTCAAAATGATTTAGGTGTTACGGGTTTCTCATTAACTCTTTGACCACCGGTCAAACCAAATTAGACTTTCACCAAAGTCAAACCACTTAACATTTAATGCCTATGACGGAGATAGCCTCAATCCGTAATACCGAAGATAGCCTCAATTCGGTGGAGGTAGGATCCCTCGGGCGATAGCCTCAAACCCAAGATCACAGACCCTCGTGCGCACGTCTTAACCTCACTGACCAGGCCCTGCAGCTGCCCGAGCAATGGCCAGTTTCTATGTTCAACATAATAAACCAATTGACCCTAATTACCGATTAGAATTAATTAATTAACTTAACTAATTCATTAAAGTCTTGGATTTAACCATCCGGTCAAACCTACGTCAACAGAATATCCAGTCAAAGTCCAAGTCAAACAGGACCTAACCCAAGTCAAAGTCAAACCTGTTCAGTCAATCCATAATCCTCAACAATTCAATTCAAATAATCAATTTAATTCAATTAACCAATTTAGCCAAATTATAGCATAAACACATATAACGATCCAAACCATTAAATCTATTCTGAATGCTATGAACTTCATAGTACGGACCTGGATTACGCCGAAATCGAATCGATAGCTCGAACGGAAGACAAATCGACGAAATCAAACGAACGGGTCGAATTGAGTCAAAATACGAAATCGACCAATCAATCCAGTGTGGAGGTTAATCTGCCGGCGATATCAATCCGGGGCAGCGGCTGGGTGCGGCGACGGTGGCGGACGCCGGCGACAGTGGCGTAACGGCAGCTCGACGGCGATGAGCAGCGACTGGCGGCGCTGCAATTCGACGGCGAGGAAAGACGCCGGCAGTGGAGGCGACGTCCAGTGGCGAGGCGTGGCGGCGCTGGACTTGACGGTGATGATGGCGGACTTCCGGCGAAGGCGAAACAGCGGCGCTGCGCTTGACGGCGAGGAGCGGCGGCTACTGGCGAAGGAAAGGCAGCGCGATTGGAGACCGTCGTCGGCGGCACTGACCCTGGCTGTAGGCGACGGGCTTCCGGCGAAGGAAAGGCCGCAGTTGGCTGGTGCGGCGAAGAGGCGGAGGTCGATCGGCAGGGGAGGACGACCGGCGATGGGCGGCGTCTGGCTCGGGCGACGCCGGCGTGGTCGAACGGGGATGACCGGCGCTGGCTCACGGCGGCAATTGGAGATGAAGAAGGAGAAGAAGAAGAAAGAAAGAAGAAGAAGAAGAAGGAGAAGAAGAAGAAAGAAAGAAGAAGGAAGAGATAAGGATCGTGTGGCTGAAATAGTTTAGGTTTTAATTAATGATCCCATTTCTAAAAGGATTGGGTTTCGGACCCAAAATACCTGATTAAATGGTCATAACATAAGCTCCATAACTCCGATTCGCGATCCGTCTGAACCGACGCGATCACAAAAATATTTCCTACGAGATGACATAAAAGTTGGGCTTAGAATCCAACTTATAATTTTAACCCCTTTTTGGGCCCAATTCGTAATCAATTGCTCTAACAATTTAATTAATTCTTTTGGGCCAGATTTCGGGGCGTTACAAGAGCCATGCAACTAGAGCAACAATTCTTCAACACCGTCAAAGGAACATCTACCATTGCTTCGTATTGTTAGACGCTTTGAAACATTGCGGATTGGCTTGACTAGAAGCATATAATGTTTAAAACCAGTAATGCTAGGTACAGGCGACTCCCATAAATCAGTGTGCATGAGTTGAAAAGGGAAAGTTGAAGTACGACTAGAAGGAGTAAAAGGGAGATGCACATGTTTCCCTAACTGACAAGCATGACATAAATTATCATAAAAATGTTTATTATTAAAAATAGATAAAGGGGGAATAGCTTGGAAAACAGCTGAGCTAGGATGACCAAGACGACGGTGCCACGTCTGGGTGTCAACGGAGGCAGTGTGTGCTTGAGCAACTCGGGTGTGTGAGAGTAGGGGGTAGAGGGGACCATTGTCATTGGAGCGATGAATCACGTTTCCCGTCCGAAGATCCTTCACAGAAAAACCATTTGAGTCAAATTCAATAGAACAATTGTTATCACGGGTAATCTGACGAACAGAGATAAGGTTGTGGATGATATGGGGAGAAATGAGGACATTATGGAGGGATAAGGGTGGGGAGGTGGGAAAAATATGTTTACCAACCGCCGTAGCGCGCACTTTGGATCCATTACCTACAGTGATAACAGGTGATGAATTTAAACATTTTGAATAAACATGGGAAATAGTACCTGGGTCGGAGGCGATATGATGAGATGCACCGGTGTCCATGAGCCACGTGGGTTCACGGAGGGTCATGGTGTCAAATTGATGAGCTAGGGCAGTTGGGGTGGGGGGAGGGGAGGGTGACGGGTAGAGGGCAGTGGAGTGGGTGGGTGTGGGGTACACGGGCTGGGAGGGTGGGGGGAATGGGGGCTGGGCTTGTGGGTTGTAATTGGTTTGTGGGCTTAATAGGTTGTGGGTGAATTGGTTTGGGTAAGGAGATAAAATGGGTTGAGTGAAATAGGCTTGGGCCGTTTGGGTTGGGTTGGGGCGTGGGCCCAAGAGCCCAGCCCACTGTTGGGTAGGGTAAGTGTTCTGCCAAGGATTCAAATGCCCAGGGGTGTGCCGAGGAAGACTTCCAGCGTTCCGTCCACGACTTCGACCGCGAGTCGGCCGTCCACCGCGACCACCATACGCCTGTCCCCGTCCGTCGTACCCTTGGGGCGGTCCATTACCGCCGCTGCCATGTCCGAATTGCTAGCCGCCATGACCACCGTAGCCCGAGCCGCGAGGGCCTCCTCCGCCTTGTGCTGCCAGCGCCGTGCTCCCCTCGCCGGCGGCTGTGTGAGGTCGCCTCTGTCCCTCGAGGAGAAGGAGGGCTGACCGGGTCTCCATAAATGTTGGCGTGGGTTTTTGAAACTGTAAAAACGAGGCTTGATTGCTTAGATCCTCCGGGAGGCCGCGTAGGGTTTGCAAGACGAGTTGATTCTCGGTGACCGGGGATACCGAGTACCGAGCCGTAGCAAATGCGGTTGCTGAAACTAGTTGGATCCGAAATCTTCTGCTTGAACTTCACCAACCCCTTCGCTGAGCCACCATTGTTTTCTGTGACAACATCAGCGCCGTTTACTTATCCTCCAACCCAGTGCAGCATCAGCGTACCAAGCATGTTGAAGTTGACATTCACTTCGTAAGAGACAAAGTAGCACTGGGTCAAGTCCGAGTCCTGCATGTTCCCTCCTCCTCTTAGTTCGCAGATATCTTTACTAAAGGGCTGCCTTCTATCATCTTCCTCGACACAACCTTGGGATTCGGAGATCTCCAACGGAGTCGGTAGCATGTTAAATATGTTAAGCATATTTATTATATATGTTAAGAATAAATATTCCTTGTATCAATTATAGTACCTTCCTTATTTGTATAGGATTCACATTTATGATTGTTTCCTTGTTGTAACCCCTTCCCCTTTGTATATAAAGGGAGGTGGAATCATTGTATTAAATCAGTGAAAATAATAATTCTTTCAAACTATCATAAAATTTGTGAGTTGGAAGAAAGAAGACTAATGGTAGAAGAAAAGAAAATACTTTTCATCAACATAAGCCATATGGATCCATATCAATGCGCCGAACATGAAGCTATGTGTAACGAGATAGAGGTTGTTTGGCCGTGCGCTGCTTTTAATAATTTAGTTTCTACTTTGAGTGGAAGTGATTTTACTATGTTTGCCATGTCAGCTTCTCCTTTTCATCACCACTTTTTTGTACATAGAACACCGTTTCGGAGAAGCAGGTATGAGATGCTTTTGATTTCAGCTTTTGTGGAAATCACTTTATTCATAAGTTAATCACTCTCAAACACCCTCATAAGCGGCTAATACAACATGCCGCGACGCAATTACTATAGTGTTTTAAAATTATGTATTGTCTTTGTTCTTTGAACTGTGTGTTTTTTTTAATTTAAAATTACTCCCAAATTATTTGCCACATTTGCTTTTTCAACAGTCGCGGGAACTTTTGTTTATTTCTACGTTTTCATTGGTTATTTGATAAAATAAAATATTCTTGAGACCTTTTATTTCGAAGAACTTTTCATGTAGTTTTTTGATATGTAATTTTTATTTTTTTATTTCTTTACCAATATGTAAATAAAATGAATTGAAAAAACTTGATATTTTGCCTCGGTAATAGAAATGTGACAAATAATTTAACACGGAGGTAGTATTATAACAGCTAGTTTTTTAATTTGTAACGGCTACTCCCTCCGTCCCAAAAAGTCTTTCCTGTTTCATTTTTTGCGCATCCCATAAAACACTTCTATCCCGCCTTGAATGCCAAAAAAACTTTCAAAATAACTTCTACCCACTATAAAGAAGAAATGTTATAAATATTAGACATTTTAGATGTCGGTAGAAGTGTTTTATGGGATGCGCAAAAAATGAAACAGGAAAGACTTTTTGGGACGGAGAGAGTATTATTTTGGTCTTTTTCTAATGGCTAGTTTGTAACCGCCCCACATTAATTTTTATTTTGAATACAATTTAAATTTTGTTTAACTATATATTTATTTACTTATTCCATTAAATTAATTTATTTAATTTTTTAATTAATTAAAAGAATTTATTTATTTTATAAAATAAAAAAAATAATGATGACGCGGATTTAAATAGGGTGCATGTGGGAAGGATGGATATATATGATAGTGTTGAGAGTAAATAGTCTTTACGAGAAGAATGAATATGATAGTGTTGAGGGTAAAAACTCTTTATGGGAAGGATGAATAAAAGCTAAAGTGACGTGTTGAGTAGCTAGGCCTGCATGTAAGAAAGGCGGCCGTTAGCATTATGGACAGTCTATGTAGTTTGGGGTACGTAAGAACAAATTCAAAATATCCCTACCGTTTTAAAAAGAATCACACTTTTCACAATTTAAAAGTATGTCAACGCTTATTTATTTGTGCGTTTTAGATAATTATTTCCTAAAATAAAATATTGTTGTCATCTCATGTTTTGTAAAACTTAATGTAAGCTTTATTTTTAATTTCTTTATTAATTTTTAAATAAAATAAAATTAAAAAGTTAAAATTTTGCCTTTATTTTGACTTAAATACAAGAAATGTTATAGAAATAGTTTTCAAAATATATAGAAAGTAAGAAACATATATGGAGTACGAAAAGAACAACGAGAAAAAACAAAGCCAAAAAATTAAATAAAACTAGAAAATGAATCGAAAATGAGAAATGAGCCTAAATGTAAAAAAGAAAATCATCAATAGAAAATAAAAAATTAAAATATAAGAAAAAATAGTACAAAAAGGAAAACAAGAAAGAAGAAAATATATGAAAATTTTTTTGTTATACAAAAGTGAAAAATGAATTCCTGTAAGAAAATATTGTTAGTCGATGTGCCCACGCCTTAGAAGAGGAGTGAATAAGGGGTTTAAAAACTTTTTTGGAGTTGAATAAAATTGATGATTAGAAAGCACGGAAGCAATGAATAAAATACAGAGATTAAAAATATAAAATAAAGATAAAGCGATTTATACTGGTTTAGGAACTTCCACTCCAGTAGCTTAAGGCTCCTCTTTAAGGGTTTCCAAATTCACTAAGTCTCGACCTCTTGAACTTCGTCAAAGCACCGTACTAGATTTGAAAAACAACCCTTGCTAATGAAAGTTCACTCAGGGATTTCATAAAGAGACTATCCCAAACTGCTTACAATGAAGATTTTCAAAGCTATCTCCGACGTTTTCCCCCAAGGATTTGAAAGCTATTCTCGAACCTTTCGCCCAAGGATATCTCGGCTATCCTTAATCCTCTACACAAGGATTTATACGGCTATCCTCGACCATTAAAATTGATGAAGTGTGTCTAAGAACACAAAAAAATGTTTAACACCCGAACCTGTATCCTTTCACCCGAACCGGTAGTATAAACCCAAACCGAATTGAAATCGGAAAAAATCAAATTGAATTTAACTCGAAATCGAACTGACTCAAACCAAACCGACTCGATTATAACTTATATCCGAAAGAGACCCGAACCGAAAAGTTTTGAACCGAAACCAAACTGATTGACCCGATTACCAGGTCTAGTCCCAGACTAACGATACGCGGCCAGGTCCCAGACCAGTAATTTTGGCCAAATCCTTTCTAATTTTGTTTAAAATCTTTTGGATGTTTGAAAATGATTATAAGAAGGTTTTAAACACATTTTTTATGTGCATTTGAGCTTGTGATTAGTATATTGGTATAAAATCCTTTATATTGATAACCGAGTTATTAAACTAATCTTAGTTTAAGACAAATATAAATAATCGGGCTCTTAAACTTTATATTAGTTAAAGAGAGAAAACGAGAACCGATGAACTATCCTACAAGTCTTATAGGTCATGCTCAAAATCAAACAACGAATTACTCACCAACAGGTTGGGTGGTACCCCCAAACTAGTAGGTACTCAAGTTTGGTTTGTGGATCCCGTACTTACATTTTGGCCATGGCCACCAGACATCATACCCGTAAGGCCTAAACAAATTAAATCACAAGAGGTCTATCTTAGAGTTCTTCTAGATATCCTTAATAATCAACATCATTTTCATAATCATCAATTTTAATCAAGATATACATTTTTAATCATGGTTCAATAATCATAATCAATAATCAATAATAGTCATAATATTTCGTAACTGTGGCCTAGCGTCGAATGTTAACACCCTAGCTTACCGTCATGCAACACATATGGTTCTTGAATTTATTAAAACATCATATTTGTTTAGGAAATGGTATTATACTGATTTCTGGTAACGCCCCAAAATATACCCTAAAAGTTATATTGAATTATTATTCAATTAATTAAATTTTTTTGATTAAAAATAAATAATTTTTGGGCTTTGGGCCGATATGAAATGTGTTTTGACATCCAAAATCACAATTTGGATAAGTCTCATAGAGATAAATAGAATATGTTGACTTATTATATGATGTTAATTGGGACCTAAGTACGGATCCAAATTAAGAATAAATGAAGAATTTGTCTGTGATGTGAACTTTGAAATAAATTATTGAAATAAATCATAAAACTAAATTAAATGTAAGAACCTTTTTGAGTAAAGGTCAATCAAATCAATTTTGATTCTCTCAAAGTCAAACACCCAAAAATATGATGTCAGAAAAAGTATTACCAATAAATGTAAAAATTATATTGTTAGATAGAGTTCAATTGTCTAATCGCAACGGTGCGAACGGATTTCAATTCGGAGAAAGTTGTATCAAAAAGTGTACCCCGACCGGGACCAAACTTAGTCCCAATCAGGGACGGCGCCTCCTCCTCCACTTAGCCGATTAGAGATAAATTCCTAGGAAAATCCTATGCAACATGATTGTCTTCTTCTTCTCTATTTTCCTATATCAGGAGGGAGAGCTAGTCTCGCATTTCTCCACCAATTCATGAAATTCTTCCTCCTAATATGTTCCTCTGAGTGTGGAGAGTGCAATGATGTTGTCAATTTGGTGTCAATCAAGGACGGCACCTCCTCCTCCACTTAGCCGATTAGAGATCAATTCCTAGGAAAATCCTACGCAGCATGATTGTCTTCTTCTTCTCCATTTTCCTATATCAGGAGGGAGAGCTAGTCTCGCATTTCTCCACCAATTCATGAAATTCTTCCTCCTAATATGTTCCTCTAAGTGTGGAGAGTGCAATGATGCTGTCAATTTGGTGTGAAGTCGCCGGAGCTAAGAATAATCCTCGCTGAAAGTTTCACCAGAAAATTCTCAAAACCTCCGTTAAGCTTTGAGGTAAGCCCGTAGATATATCTAGTGACTAGAATGTTCGTATAAATCTTTTCTACGTTCATAAACAGTTGTTTGGTTGAGTTTTGTGTTTGACATGTGTGAAGAACCAAGAATCATAAA